CCCTAAATCCATAATCTGTCATTCCTGACAAGTCTGGCTGGCCTTGGCCTACTGAGGCTCTCACCTGCCTTACATCTTGGGGTTTTTTGCTTTCCTTCCTATGGAAAAGAACTGTCCTTCTCAGCCAGGTGCCCATGGCCACAATTGGAATTTCACCTCCAACATTGCCTGTTATGACAGACTGGATGAGATTGTTGTCTCTAAACATTTTGTGTGTGGGGGAGGAAGGGGCAGGTCCAGCCTTGCCCTGCCCTGTGAGCCCAGCCCTGCCCTGCCCTGTGACCCCAATCCCCCCAGGGGCCTCCAGTGGGTTTACGGTTTCTACCTGACCAGCGGCACACCGATCCCCCAGCACCGCCGTCCCACCTCGGGCCCTGGGGCCCTCTTGGCTCTACTCGGTGCTGCTGCTGTACTCGGGGCACCCCAAACTCCGGTAGGGACCCGTGTGCACCCACCCCAGGGATTGTGTGCGACTCACACTGCCCCGATCCTCCACGCACCCGGAGCTCCGTTCGGGGTTTGCATGCCAACTCACCAATTCGTCTGCCACCCTCAGCACGCCCTGAGGGCGCCTACCAAGCCTTAAGGGGGAAGGCCGACCCCTTGTGTGCCACTCACATTTCTGTTCCTCCACACGCCCGGAGGGGGGCCCACCTTATCCCCGTGGGAGGCCACTCACTCACTCACTCACTCAGGCTTCTCTTGCTTCCCTCCGTTTGTGGCCGGTCCCCTCGCAGGAGTCCAGAACCGCGGTGCTCGGAGGGCCACAGATGCTTTGAGTCTCCGAGCTGCCGGGCCCCGTCTCACACACACTTCTTTTGCTTGCCTCCTACTCCTGCCACCGGCTTCACTTCCTCCACACTGTTTGGTCCTAGGCTGCTGCCGACTGCTCCAGATAGGGCCAGATATCCCGGAGGCCCTCAGTCCTCTTCAGGTGTGGCCTGTCCCAGACCAGTCCCCAAGACTGGTATGAATGGCACGTGAGCAGCTCTTTAGTGATTTCAGTTTTACTGGAAACAGTCCAGGTAGGGGACCCATGGGGTGTGCGCACACCACCGCTCCTCCCGAGACAGCGAAGAGGAGGAGGAGGTCAGCTACATCGTGCAGCAGAGCTGGGTCTTCTTTCCTCGCAAGAGTCTCTGAGTAGACGCCTATTGGTTTCAGGTTCATAGTCTTTATCCTGCTCTTGGCCCGCTTTGGTTGGGCTGATAAACGTGAAAAGTTCTGACCAGGGTCTTTGATACTGTCTTATGTTCTCTCTGTTTAGAGGTGTTATTGTGATTCTTTATTTGCATGGTTGGTCCTTGTTTTAGGGATTTTTGTTACGTAATCCTTTTCTGCTAAGTCCTATGGGAGTTTCATATTTGCTTATTAGGTGACATAATCATCTTCTTTATGATCTCGGATCCTTCGCCATTTTAGATGAGAGTGGGAGCAGCGGGGGTAATACCCAATGGTAAGGAGTTTTACATAATAATAAAACCTTTATCAAGCAATTAAAACTAACATTGGAACTTTACATAACTATAAAACATTAAACAAACAATCTAGAACTATCATTGGAACTTTATATTAACTCCTTTAACAACTCCACAACACTGTGGGAAGTTGTGGAACCAAGGGGATCATTGTGGCACTGTTGGGGCCCATGGAACCAAGGGGCCAGTGTGGAAACAAGAGGCCACTGTGAGCCTGTGGGGTGTAACAACCCAGAACACTTAAATGCTGGAGGTAACCAAAGGCTCCTTTACTCATGTTTGGTGCAAAGGTGAAACACCAGCCCAATATTCACAAGAGGCCAAAATGACACAAAATTTTACTGGCAAAGTACACAAAATCAAGAAACTTTGGAAGAGGTTTCAATGCAACATCCAATTACACAGAAAACATTTATCATAGCAGTAACTTCATTAACTTAGCTCATTTCACCTAGAAACCTTTAAACATGTAAGCTGTTGAAGTACCCAAAAATGTTCTATATAAAGAGCATTAGAAGGAGAAAAGAGAGAGACAAAAAGACAGAAGCTCTATAGAAAGACACGCATATGACTATCAGTTCCTAGGGTTCCAGTGTGGGTGAGACACAAACCCCAGGAGAAGGCAGAGTCCATACCAGGGGCTGACCTTGTGCTTGGTGTTTTTAAGCCCCCAGGCCTTTGTGAGCCTCCCCGCAGGTGGGATTTCTGATTGCTCGGGCAATCAGGGCTGGGTTAGCACTGTCCCCACTGTGTGACTGACTGACAGCTCATCCCATGGTGTCTCAGGACATTGATCTCATCCAGCCTCTGACAGTGACCATGGTGACACTGGGAAACCTCATGCAACCATGGGTCAGTTGTGACCAGGTGGGTCTGTTGAAGATTGCAATGCAAGACGTTTTCTATTACCATCTGTATGGCAGACTATCTTTTGTCAAGTGGGCAGTTTGCCTTATCTCTCTCTTTGAGTGACCACAATCACACCTCCCTTGGGAGGGGACATCTGCTGATAACAGACTATTGAATGTCTCTGCATGACTGATAAGAACTATAACATCCCATTGTGAGACGTGAGCCCAGAGGGAGGAGCCAAGAATTGCTGCCCAGATATAATCCAGAGGTTTTTGAGACACCAGCACGGCTTTCTCCATGGGATTTCCCAGAGGAACAGCAGCTGTCTCTTCTCCCACTGCGTCTTCGGAGGAAGAATACATCCTTCTCTACACAACCCCCTTGCTCCAACAGAACCACACCTGACACTTCAGGAGGGCTGCAGCCACATTTCCAATTGGACTGTCACCAACACCCCACAGGGTGTCAGGTTGGGTTCTGACTCTGTCAGGGTTGTTCTAGTGTACTGCACTGTTAATTTTATCTTTTAATTTTCTTCCTGTCCCTATTAAAGAACTGTTATTTCCTGCTCCCATATTTTTTCCTGAGAGCCCCTTAATTTAAAATTTATAGCAATTGAGAGGGGTGGGGAGGGTTTACATTCTCCATTTCAGGGGTGGCTCCTGCCTTCCTTAGCAGACTCCTGTCTTTGCAAATCAAGACAGTATTGATCACACTGGTAGGGTCAATGCTGTGGGTATTGATCACACTGACAGGGTTCTGCTGTGGGTATTGATCAAACTGACAGGGTCCCGCTGTGGGTATTGACCACACTGACAGGGTCCCGTTGTGGGTATTGATCACACTGACAGTATCAATGCTGGTGGTATTGATCACAATGAGAGGGTCAATGCTGGTTCTGCTGTAGGGGACACACTCTTGGGGAGGGCACTGGTCCAATTGTGAATAAATATTGGACAGGATGAAAGTTTGACAAGGAACTCTCACAGATATGTATGTATGGCAGAAGGATTTTTAAATGTAGAATCTGATGAAGGAATAGAAATGAAAGCAAGTTTTGATATAGAAGAAAAGAATTGCTGAGCCAGTCTTACTGGATAACCAAGAAGGAAAGGGTGTGTTAGTTAGAAGAAGTTTTTATGGCTTAGAGCAAAGGATAAACCCACCTCAAACAAGAAGATGTTTTTACCAAGCAGGAAGATAGCACAGGCAAACAAGGCAGCAAAGCTACAAGTAGAAAAAAGGTCTCAGAATTTTCCACTGCAAGAAAACTGCAAAACAACTTCTAGCTTAAATTGTAATGTACTAACTTCTAGTGACTGGAGAACTAAATTTTGGAGAACTAACTCTAATCACTAACTTTTAGTGATTGGAGAACTAAATTTTCGTGATTGAATACGGTAATTGTAGTGGTTATGATAGGCTATGGATAACAGTTAAGGTATAGATTGGTTCTGCTGTATTAAGATGCTCATCAAAGAAGAGTATATAATATAATAAATGTATAAGAAAATATATCATAAATCTCTTTTCTGAAATATATAACTAAAAGAATAAAATAAAAATCTATTAAAATAATAGTGAAAAATTAAAATAATAAATAAATATATAAAATAAAATAAAAAATATTTAAATAAAATAAAAAATAAATTAAAAATATGTAATAAAAGTATATAATATATGCAAAACCAAAGGGTCTCCAGGCCTGCCTGCAGCTGGAGCTGACAGCTGTGGGCACAGCTCTGTCACCCACGGCCCTGGACTGCTGTGACACCTTGGATGGTATAAACTGCACTTAGTGTACAATAAACTGCATGTTGTATACAATAAACTGCGTTTTGGAGACAATGAAATGTATTTTGTGTGCAATAAACTGCCTTTTGTATACAATAAACTGCATTTTGGAGAGCAGCCTGGAGTTCCACATCCCTCATTCACAGGTGTGGGTGATGAAGATGAAGCTGATGATGATGATGGCGTGAGCAGTGTCATGGTGACGGTGTCAGTGGTGTTGGATGAGGAGGATGTTGGTGATTAATGTCACCATAGTGTGGGTGCTGGGATATGTGATGATGATGATGACGATTACGATGACGATGATGATGGAGGTGCTGTGAGCAGTGTCCCAGCCTGCCCTGCCCAGGAAGGCAGAGGGAGCCCTGGGAGCCCCAGAGTGGCTCCGCTCAGGGTGGGGGAGAAACCAGAGACCCCCAGGGCTGGGTGAGGGGGGACAGACACAGGGACAGTTAGACGGACAGGGGACAGACACAGGGACATGGGACAGACACAGGGACAGACAGATGGACAGACATAGGGACAGGGGAGAGACACAGGGACAGACAGAGGGACAGGGGACAGACACATGGACATGGGACAGACACAGGGACAGATAGATGGACAGTGGACAGACACAGGGACAGACAGACAGACAGTGGACAGACACAGGGACAGACAGAGGGACACACACAGACAGGGGACAGACACAGACAGACACAGGGACAGACACAGGGACAGACAGAGGGACAGGAAACAGAAACAGGGACAGACAGAGAGACAGACAGAGGGACAGGGGCATGAGCACACACCCATCCATATGAGAAAAGCACCCATGAACACACAGAGTTGCTTTGCTGAAGGGTTTATTGATTATTGATTATTGATAATTGATTATTGATTATTGATTATTGATTATCAATCATTGATTATCAATTATCGATTATCGATTGTTCCAGGGCCATTCCCAGGCTCCCAGGGCAGCTCTCCAGGAATGATCAAATCCTGACGGCCTGACAGGGACAGGAGCTGAGTGTGACCCCAGGGTGACCCCAGGGTGACGCCAGGGTGACCCCAGTGTGTCTCCAGAGCCCCCCAGAGACATCCAAACCCCCCAGAGACCCCCAGGACCATCCCAAAGTGGGGCAAACTGGGGGGGACTGGGGGGCACTGGGGGGTACTGGGATGTCCTCAGTGCCATCCCCAGCACACAGGACACTCTGAGCCCAGCGCTGGTCTATACTGGGATGCACTGGGCTATACTGGGATGCACTGGGGTGCGCTGGGATGCACACTGGTCTATACTGGTCCATACTGGGATGCACTGGGGTGCACACTGGTCTATACTGGTCCATACTGGCATGCCCCCAGTGCCATCCCCAGCACAGCTCCGGGTACCCACCTCAGCCCTCTGCACTCCAAAGCCTTTGGGTTTCTGCAGAGAGGGGGCAGAGGGCACCGGGGTCACCACGGGGTCACCGCGGGGTCACCAGCCCAGCCGGGCGGGGGGCCCAACTGGCCCCCAATATCCCCCAGTGCCCCCCAGTGCCCCACAGTTCCCCCAGTGCCCCCCAGTGCCCCACAGTTCCCCCAGTGCCCCCCAGTCCATCCCAGCTCCCCCTCAGTATCCCCCTGTTCCCCCAGTTCCCCCAGTTCCCCCCATTCCATCCCAGTCCATCCCAGTTCCCCCCAATTCCCCCCAGTCCATCCCAGTTCCCCCCCAGTATCCCCCCAGTCCATCCCAGTATCTCCCAGTTCCCCCCAGTTCTGCCCAGTTAATCCCAGTATTCCACAGTTCCCTCCGTATCCTCCAGTCCATCCCAGTTCCTCCCCAGTCCATCCCAGTCCATCCCAGTCCATCCCAGCTCCCCCAGTCTCACCTTGATGCAGCCCCCAATGCCTCCCACGATCCCGGACTGCAGGGGCAGAGCAAAGGGGATTTGGGATTTGGGGGTTTAGGGATTTGGGGATTTGGGATTTGGGGATTTGGGGATCTTGGGGATTGAGAGATTTGGGGATTTGGGGTTTGGGGCTTGGGGGATTGGGATTTGGGGATTTGAAGTTTGGGGGTTTGGGGTTTTGGGAATTTAGGGATTTGGGGGATTTGGGATTTGGGGATTGAGGGATTTGGGGATTTTGGGGGTTTGGGTTTTGGTGATTTGGGGATTTGGGGGATTAGGGATCTGGGTTTTGGGGATTTGGAGATTGCGGATTTGGTAACTTGGGAGTTTGGGGATTTGGGATTGGGGGATTGGGGATTTGGATATTTGGGGGGATTGGGGATTTGGGGGCTGTACTGGGATGTCCTGGGCTATACTGGGCTATACTGGTACCCACCTGGCCATCACCAATGCCACCAATTTGCTGTGGGGAGAGCAGGAGATGTCCCCAAGGTCACTGGGGTGTCCCCCATTGGCCCCCCATTGTCCCCCATTGCCCCCAGTGCCCCCCAGTGCCCCCCATTGCTCCCCAGTGCCCCCCAGTGCCAACAGTGCCCCCCCAGTCCTTCCCAGTATCTCCCAGTCCATCCCAGTGCCCCCAGTCCATTCCAGTCCATCCCAGTGACCCCAGTCCATTCCAGTTCCCCTAGTCCATCCCAGTATCTCCCAGTGCCCCCCAGTCCATCCCAGTCCATCCCAGTGCGCCCCAGTGCACCCCAGTGCCCCCAGTCTCACCCCAGCACAGATGACTCCGCTGCCCTCCATGGCGGCCTGGGCAGGGACAGCAAAGGTTGGTCAGGGGATGGGATGGGATGAGGAGCCCCAAAAGGATGAGATGGGATGGGATCCATGGAATGGATGGGATTTTTGGGAGCCCCAACAAAATGGGATTTTTGGGGAGCCCCAAAAGAATGGGATGGGATCAATGGGATCAATAGGATGGGATGGGGTGGGATAAATGGGATGGGATGGGGAGTCCCAAAAGGATGGGATGGGATCCATGGGATGGATGGGATGGGAGTTTTGGGGAGCCCCCAGCGCTGAGCCCAGCCCGGGGCCCTGCAGCCTCACCTGGCTCTGAGCTGGCAGGCACAGCAGGATGGAGAAGAGCAGGGCCACGCTGAGCACAGCCACCTTCATCTTCCTCTGGCTCTGGGCAGCGCTGCCTGAGGCTGCAGCAGGTGAGGAGCACCTTTATCCCTGCCGGGACTCCTCCCTGCACCCTCCCTGCCAGCCCCCAGGCCAAAGCCCGGCTTGGCACAGCCCCCAGCCCTGGCCACAAGCCCAGCCCTGGCACAGAGCCCATCCCACCCCACCTGTGGCACGGATCCAGCCCCCTCGGCCGGCATCCCTCCAGCTTCCTGCACGGGGCAGCTGCCCCTGGAAGGGCCCAGGCACCTGGGGGGCCAAGGAGGGGCAGGCAGGGAGCCAAAGGCACCTGGGCACCCTGTGGGGACAACCCCCACTCCAACACAGTCCATCCTCCAACAGCTCCCCAGTCTCGGGGTTTTGCTGCTCAGGGTGACCCCAGATGTGGCACAAAGTCTCTTTTCCCATCCTGGCAGTCAGAGGAGCCAGACCTCCTCATTTCTCATTCCCGAGGTTGTTTATTGTTTTTTATCTATAAAATTCTTTCTCTGGCCTGCCCAGGTCCACTCAGCAAGACAGTCCAGGCACTCTACCTCCTTCGGGGTGATGTTATCTTTTTATATATTTTTATTTCTACTTTATATTTATATATTTTATAGATGTTTATATATTATTATTCACACATATTTTATATATAATAATTTTTACATATTTTTACATATTTATATATATCTTATATTTATATTTTATTCGTATTAATTTATTTATATTTATAATGTTTTTGTCTATTTATTTATTCTATTTTGTATATATTTATACACATTTTTATATATTATATTTATCTATTTATTTATAACTACATTATATTTATTTATCTATTTATTTATGTATTTTAGATTTATATTTTTTTCAAAATTCCATGTACAATATTTACAATTCCTTCCCAATACCTATGACTTGTGTTAGACAGTGAGCTTCTACCCTAAACTAACCCAAAAGTGCCACCATCACCCAGAGGACAGAGGCCAAGAAGAAAAAGAAAGACAAAGGCTGGACACACCCAGATCCCCCCCATCTTGCCCCCTGAACCCCCATTCTAAAAACCCCAAAATTCTCCATTTTCACCCTGTGACAAATTCACTTGCATTCCACTCAAACTCTCTTGCCTTGTAATTCTTTCCATCAAGGTGGGGATTTGCTCCAAGGGTCACAATCCCAGTCCCAGCTGTCCTGGGCTCTGTGCCCAAGGCTCTGAGCCCCCCCTGGAGCCATCCAGGACAGACAGACGGACGGACGTGCTGGGGCCTGAAGCCCGGGGGAGATCCCCTGCCTGCCCCACTGTCCCACCCAGCCCCACTGGGTCCTGCTGGATCCCCCAGTCCTGCTGGATCCCCCAATCCAATCCTGCTGGATTCCCCCAATGCAGTCCTGCTGGATCCCCCAATCCAACCCTGCTGGATCCCGCAATCTTGCTGGATTCCCCGAATCCCACTGGATCCAATCCAACCCTGCTGGATCTCCCAATCCACTCCTGCTCCTGTGCGCCATGGAGAGAGATTTGGGAGTCAGAATCTGATTTTATTGTGGGATACAATAAATACATAATAATATATTGGGGACATATCATTATATATTTTTAATTATTAATATTAAAGTATTATTATTTATTAATTTCCAAATAATATTATAATTATTATAATGTATATTAAATTATATAATATATATTTTAATAATATATAATAATATATTATTAAATTATACATAATTATATATTATGCATATTAATTTAATTAATTATTATAATAGTTAAATTATTATTAATATCATATATTATTAAAATATAAATATTATTAGTATTAAAATGTATTATAATAGATGTAATAAATATATATAATATTTATTATATATATAATAAACATAATCATTAGATAGTATTATAATAAATATATATATTTCTATAAAAATATATATTAAATTTAGATAGAATAATCGATATAATATATAGATTTATAACTATATGTTATGATAATAAATATAATAAATACTAATAACGGCACTAATATAATAAATATATAATAATATATCCCATTTCAGGGAGACCAGCAATGTGTGCTGGAATGATTGGGTAACAATCACACAGACAAATTTATGCAAATAAATAATAAATATGCTAAATAAAAAAATAAAGAAAGAAAATATAATTAATCGATTCAAATAAATATTAAATATGCAGATAAATACATTTGGCAGAGTTTAATGAGATTTTCCTTTTCTGCTGAACCTGTCTCATTTAATCTCCTTGCAATCCAGGTCTAATTTTCACAGCTCCCTTTGCTTTTGCCATCCTGGTATCAAATCTCTGCTGTTCCCCAGGCCCAGAGTCCCTCCCCTGCCTGGTGTCCCCCAACATCCCAACAGCTCCCAGAGCCCCAGGGCTGGCCCTGAGCAAGGCTCCCCTTCCTGCCCGACGCTCCAGCCCAGCCCTGAGCCCTGGCAGGGGGGAAAATGGAATTTTATCATTGGCTTTGGGCAAATATTCACATGGAAATTGTATGTGCTGTGTCAGAAAGTTGTGCTGGGTTAATTTTTTTAGAGTCTGGTAAATCTAATTTTAGGTTATAACATAATGTTAAAATAGAAACTCTGCTATGTGAGATACTTTTTTTTAAAGAAAGGACTTGCACTGAGATAGCAGCTACACGACAGCCAAATCTTTCAGAGAATTTACTGGTTTCTTATCATAAAAAATGAACTTTTCCCCACCTTGAATGTGCTGTTAAGATTCAGAGGAAGAAGCTGACACTGACCAGACAGAATCCTGTGTTTGGATGGAATTTATGCATCATGTATGAGGGGTATGAATATGCAACAGGCTATTGTTTTTAAGGGTTAATCCTCTGTTAATGTGGGTCCTTTCTTGTGCTAATTTTGCCCAGAGAAATGTACCCAGACTGTCCATAAGTCTTTGTTTCGATTGTCTCATATTGTCCTAATCCAAATTATCCAAATTATTACTACACTAACTGCATTGCTATTTTTTTAAACATTTTATTACCATTAAACTTTTATAACTTCCAACCCAAGTTCTTTGCAGGGTTTTTCCCCAGGTGGCCCTGAGAACTCAGAGCAGGGACGGTCCCTGGCAAAATGCAGTTTATTGTACCCAAAATGCTGTTTATTGTTCCCAAATTTCAGTTTATTTTATCCCCCTCTCTGGCAGGGCTCCCAGAGCTGCCAGAGCCTCCATTGCCCACGGACACCCAGGAACATTTCCAGGAGATGTTCCCTGCTCAGGCACACTGCCCACACTGCGGGGACCTGGGGTGGGACAGGGGGGAAACCCTGCAGGGCCTGCCCTGACTCTTGGCCTTGGATTGGGGAGTGCCAGCAGTGACCTGGAAGGGTTTAATTTTATCTGTGCCTGCTTTGTGCCTCCTTGGATGGAGAATTCAGCAGCCAGCAGTGACCTGGAAGGTTCTGGAAGGTTTCCCTGTTATCTGTGGGTGCTTTGTGCCTCCTTTGTGCACAATTGAGCAGCCAGCAGTGATCTGGAAGGTTTTCCTGTTGTTTTTTGTTGCTTTGTTCCTCCTTTGTGCACACCTGAGCAGCCAGCAGTGACCTGGAAGGTTTTCCTGTTGTATTTTGGTGCTTTGTGCCTCCTTGGTGCACAATTCAGGAATGGTGTTGGCTCAGGGACATTCCCAGCCCTGCACATCCCAGGGGCCGTTCCAGATGATCCCAGCCTTGGCTCCATGGGCTCTGCACTCACCTGCTCCTGGTTTGGGATCATTGGAACATGGAAATGTTCCCAATTTGGTGTCTGGGGCAGGGATGGGCTGGAGAAGTGACCAGGGCGAGTCTGAGGTGCAGCTGATCCGCCCTGGGCTGTGTCCCTGCCTCTCCCTGGCAGCAACCTGGAAAATTCCTGATTTTCCTCTCATCCTTCCCAAGGGATTTTTTCCGCACTCAGGTTCCAAATCAATTCCTGGCCTGGCCATTTTCCCCAGGCTGTGACCACAGGGGGAAACAGAGGAGCCTGATCTGCCCACATTAACATCTTGTGAGAGCCTGGATGAGGGATGTGGGACTCCACGCAGCTCTTCAAAATGCAGTTTATTGTACACAAAATCCAGTTCATTGTCTCCAAAATGCAGTTTATTGAGCACAAAATGCAGTTTATTGTACCTAAAAGGCAGATTATTTGACCCAAAATGCTGATTATTGCTCAAAAAATGCTCTTTATTTTACACAAAATGCAGTTTGTTGCATCCAGGAAGTTACAGCAGTCCAGGTTCTTGCCTCTTGAACCCCCATTTTAAAACCCCAAAATTCTACATTTTCACCCTGTGATAAATTCCCTGTCATTCTACTCAAACTCTTGTGGCTTGTTACTCCTCACACAAAGTTAGGAATTGTTTCCATTGGCTAAAATCGAAGGCACAGGTGGTTGTGACTCGGTGTCAAGGTCTCTGAAGGATTTTTAATTGTAGAGTCTGATGAAGGTATAGAGATGGAAGCAAGTTTTGATATGGAAGAAAAGAATTGCTGAGCCAGTCTTACTGGATAACCAAGAAGGAAAGGGTGTGTTAGTTAGAAGGGGTTTTTATGGCTTAGAGCAAAGGATAAACCCACCTCAAACAAGAAGATGTTTTTACCAAGCAGGAAGATAGCACAGGCAAACAAGGC